CGCTCTACCGGAATTGCATGTCATCCCAGCACTTTGGGAGGCCGAGGCGGGCGGATCTCCTGAGGTCGGGAGTTCGAGACCAGCCTGACCAACATGGTGAAACCACGTCTCTACTAAAATTACAAAAACTAGCTGGGCGTGATGGTGGGTGCCTGTAGTCCCAGCTACTTGGGAGGCTGAGGAAGGAGAATAATGTAAACCCAGGAGGCGGAGGTTGCAGTGAGGCAAGATCACACCACTGCACTCCAGCCTGGGCGACAGAGTGACTCCCTCTCAAAGAAAGGAAAGAGGAGAGGGGAGGGGAGGGGAGGGGAGGGGAGGGGACGGGACGGGAAGGGCTCCAACCTGCAGCCAGCCCCGTGAGCGCCCACCTGTGCCCGTCGGTTGCTTCAGATCCCTCCGTGCCCAGATGTTTCTGGAGAGCCGCCTCCACAGCCCAGACACAGCCCAGACACCGCCACGAACGACCGTTTTCTGCTCCCTCTGTAAAATTTCCATCCCGCCTCCCCGGCCCTGGCGAGGCCAAAACCACAAGCTTGCCTGCGTGTCAGGTCAGAGCAGCCGGGTCGGTTAGAGGTAACTTGATGAGTCAGCCGTGCGACCCAGAGGCCTGGTCCTGGTCCGCTGTCCTCCCTGGGGGCTGTAGGGTGGCCTCGGGGGACAGACCTGGGATTGCAGCACAGAGACAGGGAGTTTGCTGTATCCCAAGACCACACAGGTGCAGACGGGAGGGGGCCTGGGGGAGGCCGGGGTGCGAGAGCTTCAACAGACGTGCTGTTTAAACCGGGCACAGATGCCGACCGGGAGAGTTTCACCCACAAATTCCAGCCCAGCTGTGGTGGCTGACGTCTGCCATCCCAGCACTTGAGGCCACAAGTTTGACACCAGCCTGGGCAACACAGCAAAACCCCATCTCTACAAAAAAGATTAGCTGGGCATGGAGGCATGCACCTGCAGTCCCAGGTACTCAACCAGACTGCCTGAGGCCAGGAGCGTGAGACCAGCCTGGGAAACCTAGCAAAACCCTCTGTCTGCAAAAAATAAAACTATTCCCTGGGTATGATCACACACACGTGTACTCCCAGCTCCTCAGGAGGCTGAGGCAAGAGCATTGCTTGTGGCCAGGAGTTTCAGACCAGCCTGGTCAACATACAAAGCCCCCTTTCTACAAAAAAGTAAAAATATTGGGTGCCACGGTGGCACCTACCTTTACTCCCAGCTGCTGGGGAGGCTGAGGCAGGAGGATTGCTTGAGCCCTTCATGCTGGATGCTGCAGTGAGTTACGTTCACACCACTGCCTGCCAGCCTGGGCAACACAGCAAGACTCCGTCTCTATAAAACAAACAACAAAAGAACAATCCCAGGGTCCTCCTATTTCTAGCTCTGTCCATTTTATTTTATTTTATTTTTTATTTTTACTTTTTTTTAGAGTCAGGGTTTCACCGCGTTGGTCAGGCTGGTCTCGAACTCCTGACTTCAGGTGATCCGCCCGCCTCAGCCTCCCAAAGTGCTGGGATGACAGGCGTGAGCTGCCACGCCCGGCCCCATTTAATTTTTTTATTTTATTTTTTTCTGAGACGGAGTCTCGCTCTGTCGCCCAGGCTGGAGTGCAGTGGCACGATCTTAGCTCACTGCAACCTCCGTCTCCCGGGTTCAAGCGATTCTCCTGCTTCAGCCTCCACATAGCTGGGATGACAGATGCGCCTGACTAATTTTTTGTGTTTTTAGTACAGACGAGGTTTCACCATGTTGGCCAAGCTGGTCTCAAACTCCTGACCTCGTGATCCACCCGCCTCGGCCTCCCAAAGTGCTGGAATTACTGGTGTGAGCCACCGGGCCCCACTGATCATCTCAAGATAAAAATAGTGTTTCTCTGACACCCTTCACAGCAGTGCAAGGTCGAACCCCGGGAAGCCAGGGTCCCCTTTTCCTCCTGAAGGTACCCAGCTGGCCGTGGGGTGCGGCGCTGACCCCCGCATAAACCATACAGCTCACACCTGGGCAGGGCAGAGACCTGCACCCCGAAACGGAAACTCTGGGCCATTTGAAAAGCAGTTAGAGGAAGTTACTTGTACAGCCGTTGGTAAGAAGGCACAGGTCTCCTCTGCAGGCAGAAGCGGGAGGGCGGAGGCGGGGCACGACACACGGCGAACGGGTTTGTCTCCTTGAAACTTGGACTGTGTGTTTTCTGCTGATAGACGCTTTGGGGCACACGTCCCTCAGATGGAAGGGTTAACACCCAGGCTAGTGCTGAGGGGGTGCGAGGAACTCACAGGAGGACCCGCTGGGGGCTGAGGGTCGCTTTGTGGTTTCTGTACGTGGCGCGGGGGGGCGGGGGGCAGTGAGTCTGGTCCTGAGGTTTGTACGTCCTGAACCTGCCCAGGGCAGCCTCCAGCCCCATTCTGGGTCTTCCCAGAGTCCTAGCCTCAGCCAGGTGTGGTGGCTCACGCCTGTAATCCCAGCACTTTGGGAGGCCGAGGCGGGCGGATCACCTGAGGTCAAGAGTTCGAGACCAGCCTGGCCAACATGGTCAAAGCCCGTCTCTACTAAAAATACAAAAAGTTGGCCGGGCGTGGTGGCTCACACCTGTAGTCCCAGCACTTTGGGAGGCCGAGGCGGGCGGATCACGAGGTCAGGAGATCAAGACCAGCCTGGCCAACATAGTGAAACCCCATCTTAAAAAAATTAATTATTAATTAATTAAAAATCAAAATACAAATACAAAAAATTAGCCGGGCGTGGTGGTGGGCGCCTGTCATCCCAGCTACTCGGGAGGCTGAGGCAGGAGGATCGCTTGAACCCAAGAGGCGGAGGTTGCCGTGAGCCGAGATGGCACCCGTGCACTCCAGCCTGGAAACAGAGCGAGACTCCGTCAGAAAAGAAAGGAAGGGAAGGAAAAGGGGGAAAGAAAAGGAAGAAGGCAGAAGTCTCGGGGTAACGGAGCCATGCTCACCGCGGATGTGAAAGGTGGACGCACCCGGCTTCTTCACGGCGGGTGGAAATGGGGAACCAGACCTCAGAGCAGTCAGATTCTGCCTGGGGCAGCAGGGAGCAACAGCAAGTATGCTGCAGGTGCAAACGCAGTTTCCTTCTGTCTTTCCTTTTCTTTTCTGAGATTGACTCTCTCTCTGTCACCCAGGCTGGAGTGCAGTGGCGTGATCTCAGCTCACTGCAACCTCCACCTCCCGGGTTCAAGCGATTCTCCTGCCTCAGCCTCCCAAGTATCTGGGATGACAGGCGACCACCATGACTGCACCCGGCTAATTTTTGTATTTTTAATAGAGACGGGGTTCCACCATGTTGGCCAGGCTGGTCTTGATCACTTGACCTCATGATCCACCCGCCTCAACCTCCCAAAGTGCTGGGAGCCACTGGGCCCGGCCCTTTTCTTTTTTCTTTTTTGAGATGCAGTCTCTCTCTGTCGTCCAGGCTGGAGGTCAGTGGTGCAATCTCGGCTCACTGCAACCTCCGCCTCCCGGGTTCAAGCGATTCTCCTGCCTCAGCCTCCCAAGTAGCTGGGATTACAGGCACCTGCCACGACCACACCCGGCCAAGCTTTGTATTTTTAATAGAGACGGGGTTCCACCATGTTGGCCAGGCTGGTCTCGAACTCCTGACCTCACCATCCGCACGCCTCGGCCTCCCAGAGTGCTGGGATGACAGGCGTGAACCGCGGCGCCCGGCCAAGAAAGTTTCTTTGACAGTCAGTCTCTGTGTGACTTTGTAAGTGCTGCACGTCCCAACATCCTCACAGTCCCTGTGGGGAAGCCACTGTGCCGTCCCTTGCAGCACGCTCCCTGCATTTCCAAGTGGAAGCGAGGAGCGAAGGAAGGGCTAGGTGGATGCTGACCCTGGGTCCCCACACCCACGGGGACTGGCAGGCCACTGCGTTCCCGTCAGCCCAGCCCCCAGTCTGGCTGCTCCCAGGGGTCCTGGCACAGCCTGTCTCTCTGTGCAGCCGTGTTTCCGGGTGCTCCGGTGATGGGGGTCCTGGAGCAGCCTGTGTCTCTTTCCAGCCAAGTTTCTGGGTGCTCCAGTGATGGGGGTCCTGGAGCAGCAGGTCTGTCTGTCTGTCCAGCCAAGTTTCTAGGTGCTCCGGTGATGGGGGTGCAGCCGAGTTTCTGGGTGCTCTGGTGATGGGCAGTTTTTATTTGTTCTGTGAGCTTTCCTGTGTGTGGCAGAGTGCTTGATGTTTATGGAAACCTGCAAATTTGGTGGGAGAAAAACAGGCAGGAGAAAGGGAGGAAGGGAAGGAGGGAGGGAAGGAGGGAAGGAGGGAGGGAAGGAGGGAAGGAGGGAGGGAAGGGGGTGGGACACACCAAGGGAGGGAAAGAGAGGAAGGAAGGAAAGAATGAAAGAGGGTGAAGAAAGGGAGGGAAGAAAGGAGGAGACAGGGAGGGAGGAAGGAGGGAGGGAGGGAAGGAGGGAGGGACAGAGCAAGGGAGGGAAAGAGAGGGAGGAAGAAACAGAGGAAGGAAAAATGAAGGGAGGAAGGGAAAAAAGGAGGGAGGGAGCAAATGAAGGGATGGAGAGAGGAAGGGAGGGAGGGAAGGAGGGAGAGAAAGAGCTAGGGATGGAAAGAGAGGAAGGAAGGAAGGAAAAATGAAGGGAGGAAGGGAAAAACGGAGGGAGGGAGGGAAGGAAAGAGGGAGGAAGGGAAGGATGGAGGAAGAAGGAAAGGGAGAAACGAGGAAGGAAGGAAAGAATGGAAGAGGGTGAAGAAAGGGAGGGAAGAAAGGAGGAGACAGGGAGGGAGGAAGGAGGGAGGGAGGGAAGGAGGGAGGAAGTAAAAGAGGAAGGGAGGGAAGGAAGGAGGGAGGGAGGGAGGAAGGAGGGAGGGAAGGAGGAAGGAAAGGAGGAGGAAACGGAGGGAGAGCGTGTGGGAGGACACAGGGAGCTGCCAGAGCGCTTCCGCCCCTGGCTCCCAGCCTGAGCGCCCAGGCCCGTCCCTTGCGCCCCTCCGCGCTCCTCACCCCTGACCGCGCCCCGTTCCCTCGCAGACCCCGGTGGGGCCGGCAGAGCCGCCCCAGGATGCAGCCCCCCGCGAACGGCAGCGCGGGCCCCGACAACGCCACGCTGGAGATGCTGCGCGACCCGGCCATCGCGGTGGCCCTGCCCGTCGTGTACTCGCTGGTGGCGCTGGTCAGCATCCCGGGGAACCTGTTCTCGCTGTGGGTGCTGTGCCGGCGCATCGGGCCGCGCTCCCCGTCCGTCATCTTCATGATCAACCTGAGCGTCACCGACCTGATGCTGGCGGCCGTGCTCCCGTTCCAGATCTACTACCACTGCAACCGCCACCACTGGGTGTTCGGGGTGCTGCTGTGCAACGTGGTCACGGTGGCCTTCTACGCCAACATGTACTCCAGCATCCTCACCATGACCTTCATCAGCGTGGAGCGCTTCCTGGGCGTCCTGTACCCGCTCAGCTCCAAGCGCTGGAGGCGCCGCCGTTACGCGGTGGCCGCGTGCGCCGGGACCTGGCTGCTGCTGCTGGCCGCGCTCTCTCCCCTGGCGCGCACGGACCTCACGTACCCGGTGCACGCGCTGGGCATCGTGACCTGCTTTGACGTCCTCAAGTGGTCCATGCTCCCCAACCTGGCCATGTGGGCCGTGTTCCTCTTCACCATCTTCATCGTCCTGTTCCTCATCCCCTTCCTGGTCACCGTGGCCTGCTACACGGCCACCATCCTGAAGCTGCTGCGCACAGACGAGGCGCACGGCCTGGGGCAGCGGAGGCGCGCGGTGGGCCTGGCCGCGGTGGTCTTGCTTGCCTTCGTCACCTGCTTCGCGCCCAACAACTTCGTGCTCCTGGCGCACATCGTGGGGCGGCTCTTCTACGATAGGAGCTTCTACCACATCTACAAGCTCACGCTGTGTCTCAGCTGCGTCAACAACTGCCTGGACCCCTTCGTGTACTACTTCGCTTCTCGGGAATTCCAGCTGCGCCTCCGGGAGTACCTGCGATGCGGATGGGTGCCCGCGGACCCCCTGGACGCTCGCCCAGAGAGCCTCTTCTCCGCCAGGACCACGTCTGTGCGCTCCGAGGCCGGCACGCGCACAGAGGGGCCGGAGGGAGCCTCCAGGCCCAGCCTTAAGAGGCAGGAGAGCGAGTTCTGAGTCCTGGGGCGCAGCTTGGAGAGCCGGGGGCGCCGCTTGGAGAGCCGGGGGCGCCGCTTGGAGAGGCGGGGGAAACAGCTTGGAGGCCCGGGGGCGCAGCTTGAAGAGCCGGGGAAGGCAGCTTGGAGAGCTAGGCATATGGAGAGCCAGGCGCATGGAGACGCCACGGTTCCCGCGTTTCAAAGAGGGCAGGAGCATCCTTCCCAGGCACTGCAGAGGCATCGGTGGGGAAGAGGGAAGGGTCTCCAGGCTGCGTTCCTTCCAGGCAGTGCGGAGGCGCACGGTGGGCCTGGCCACGGTGGTCCTGCTGGCCTTCATCGTCACCTGCTTTGCTCCCAACAACTTCGTGCTCCTGGTGCACATCGTGGGGCGTCTCTTCTACGACAGGAGCTTGGAGAGCCGGGTGCGCAGCTTGGAGAGCCGGGGGAAGCAGCTTGGAGAGCCAGGGCGCAGCTTAGAGGGTCGGCGTTGCAGCTTGGAGAGCCGGGGGCGCAGCTTGGAGGCCCGGGGGCGCAGCTTGAAGAGCCGGGGGAAGCAGCTTGGAGAGCCGGGGGAAGCAGCTTGGAGAGCCGGGGGCGCAGCTTAGAAAGCCGGGGGAAGCACCTTGGAAAGCCGGGGAACGCAGCTTGGAGAGCTAGGCATATGGAGAGCCAGGGCGCATGGAGACGCCACGGTTCCCGCGTTTCAGAGAGGGCAGGAGCATCCTTCCCAGGCACTGCAGAGGCATCAGTGGGGAAGGGGGAAGGGTCTCCAGGTTGCGTTCCTTCCTGGCAGTGCGGAGGCGCACGGTGGGCCTGGCCACGGTGGTCCTGCTGGCCTTCATCGTCACCTGCTTTGCTCCCAACAACTTCGTGCTCCTGGCGCACATCGTGGGGCGGCTCTTCTGCAACAGGAGCTTGGAGGGCCGGGTGCGCAGCTTGGAGAGCCGGGGGAAGCAGCTTGGAGAGCCAGGGCGCAGCTTAGAGGGTCGGCGGTGCAGCTTGGAGAGCCGGGGGCGCAGCTTGGAGGGCCGGCGGTCAGCTTGGAGGACCGGGGGCGCAGCTTTGAGGCCCGGGGGCGCAGCTTGAAGGACCGGGGGCGCAGCTTGGAGGCCCGGGGGCGCAGCTTGAAGAGCCGGGGGAAGCAGCTTGGAGAGCCAGGGCGCATGGAGAGGCCATGGTCCCGGTCCCCGAGGTTCAGAGAGGGCAGGTACCTTCTTCGCAGGCACTGCAGACGCACGGTGGGGAAGGGTCTCCAAGCTTCACTCACGGTTAGGGAAGGAAGTAAATCGCAGAGAGTGGCAAGGGGCGCTTTGTTCTGCTGCAGAGGGCGGCAGCTTTCGGTGGCTCTGCCTGGCAGTGCTGAGGGACAGCGCGTGCCACCATGCCTGGCTAATTTTTGTATTTTTTTGTTATTTTGAGAGGAGTTTCGCTCTTGTTGCCAGGCTGGAGTGCAGTGGCACTGTCTCATCTCCGTCCAACCTCCACCTCCTGGGTTCAAGCAATTCTCCTGCCTCAGCCAAAGGACACTGTGTGCCACCATGCCCGGCTAACATATATAAATATGTACATGATACATGTGTATTATGTATAAATATATACATAATCTCACAATATGTAATATATACATATATATGCATATGTAATATATACATAGAGTGAGATTATGTATATATTTATATATATTATATATTACATGTATTATATGATATATATATATTTTATTAGTTATATATTTTTATATAATAATATAAATATATATATATAAACATTTTTGAGATGGAGTCTTGCTCTGTTGCCCAGTCTGGAGTGCAGTGGCACGATCTCGGCTCACCGCAACCTCCGCCCCCGGGGTTCAAGCGATTCTCCTGCCTCAGCCTCCCGAGTAGCTGGGATTACAGGCACCCGCCGCCACGCCCAGTTAATTTTGCATTTTTAGTAGAGATGGGGTTTCTCCGTGTTGGCCAGGCTGGTCTCGAACTGCTGACCTCAGGTGATCCGCCCGCCTCCCTCTCCCAAAATGCTGGGATGACAGGTGTGAGCTATGGTGCCTGGCTATTTTTTGTATTTTTAGTGGAGATGGGCTTTCACCCCCGACTCCTTGGGCCCTCCTTATCACACGTGTCCCTACCAAGTGTGGACATTTCACCAGCCCCGCTGCCTCCCCCCCTCAGTTTCCGGCTGTTGTCACCGGGCGACCTGCAAGCCCCGTTCTCAGCTCCTCTCCTTGCTCACACCGTCTTTTAGCTGTGGTCTGGGGCTTCTCCATTCTGACCCTGGGGTTCTGGTCTCCGGAGCGTGGTGCACCCCAACATTTCAATTTCTGTCACTCAGGGTCACTGTAGTTGCCATGGCCGTAACTGTTCTTCCAGAGGAACAAGGACAGACTATTTCTAATGACTCTGGGAGCTCCTGGGATTCCTTCCAGTCAGCAGGTGCCCCGCACCCCCAAGCTGAGCACTGTGATTTGTGTCTCCTTTTTTGAGATGGAGTTTTGCTCTGTCTCCCAGGCTGGAGTTCAGTGGTGTGATCTCGGCTCACTGCAACCTCCGCCTCCCGGGTTCAATGGATTCTCCTGCCTCAGCCTCCCGAGTAGCTGGGATTACAGGCGTGCCCCACCACACCTGGCTAATTTTTGTGTTTTTAATAGAGATGGGGTTTCACCTTGTTGACCAGGACGATCTCAATGTCTTGACCTCGTGATCCACCCACCTTGGCCTCCCAAAGTGCTGGGATGACAGGCGTGAGCCACCGCGCCCGGCTACACTGTGCAGTGTGATTCCAGAGTTCCCTACCTCCTGCCCATTCTCCGGGTCCTTTACCCCACAGAGGGCCTCAGCCATCCCACGTCCGTCCAGCGTCCGGGGAGCAGGCAACGGGCCTGACCCGTGAGACCGTTTGGGGACCGAATACCAGACACAGGCGTGGACCCCAGGGTCTTCTGCCCAGGGGCTCTGTCGTGGGCGGCTTTCAATGCCCGGCCACTCCCTTTCTGGGCCTGGGGGATGCTGATGGAGGCCGAAGCTGATGTTCTGAGCCTCTCTGTTGCTGTCTCTTCCCCGGCATCCTCGCTATGGAGAGAAAACAGAGATGGTTTAGCAGTGCAGTGACTGATGCCCCCTCCCCCCCCCCAAAATTCACGTCCCCCGGAACATCAGGACGGGACCGTGTTTGAAAACATGGTCATCACAGACGGATTTAGTCAGGTGTGACCATTCTGGATTCAGAATGGGCCCAGTCCAGTGTCCCTGTGAGAGAGTAAGCAGGAGACACAGACGGGGGGAGGCCACGTGGACACGGAGGCGGAGGCTGAAGTGATGGGGCCACAAGCCCAGGGATGTGGGAGCGCCCAGGAGCCTGGAGAGGCAGGAAGCATCCTCCCCTAGACCCTCCCGAGGGAACTGGATACAAGTGAAGTGGATTGATCTCTGGTTTCCCCAAAAAGATATATCGATATCCATGTCCTAACCCGCATAACCTGCGAATGAGACCTTATTTGGAAAAGTGGTGTTTGCAGATGTAACTAAATAAAGGATATTAAGACGGGATCGTCCTGCATTATCTGTGTGGTCCCTAAATCCAATGACAGGTATCCTTCTGAGAGACAGAGAGGACACCTAGACCCAGAGGAGGGCACGTGGAGAGACAGGCAGAGGCTGCAGTGATGGGGCCACAAGCCCAGGCATGCCGGAGCCCCCAGGAGCTGGAAAGGCAGGAAGGACCCTCCCCTAGACCCTCCCAAGGGAGCACACCCCTGAGACCCCTGTACTTCAGACTTCTCCTCCCCATCACTGCAGGAGAATAAACTTGTGTTAAGCCCTGAGTTTCTGGGAAATTCATTTCGGCAGCCCCAGCAGACGCGCACACACACGCACATACATGCGCGCACACACGTTTAATCCACTGTGACATCCTGGAGCTGTCACATGGGAAACTGCAAAGTGCTGCTTCCCAGAGGGGTCATTTTGGGAGCCCCAGCATGTCCTGGGCTGGGTCTCAGGGAGGGCTGTTTGGCCCCAGTCCCCCACACGTGGTCACTCGAGTCAGATGAGGGCTCGTGGAACAATAATACCCTGTAACGCTTTTTTTGTGTTGTTTTTGTTTATTTTCTTTTTTTGGAGACAGGGTCTCGCTCTGTCGCCCGGGCTGGAGTGCAGCGGCGCGATCGTGGCTCACCGCAACCTCCACCTCCCAGGTTCAAGGGATTCTCCGGCCTCAGCCTCCTGAGTAGCTGGGACTACAGGCATCCTCCATCATGCCTGGCTAATTTTTGAATTTTTAGTAGAGACGGGGTTTCGCCATGTTGGCCACGCTGGTCTCGAACTCCTGACCTCAGGTGATCCACCTGCCTCGGTTTCCCAAGGAGCTGCTATGACAGATGTGAGCTACCTCGCCTGGCCTTTTTTTTTTAAATCTGGACAGCAGAGGCAGGTTTTTTTGCAACGCTCAGAAGACTGGTGGTTCGGTCTCTCCATCACCCCCTCAGGAGGCACAGACGCTGTTGTATGAATCACGTCGTGAAGGCATCCAGGGTTGGGGTACACAAGAGCCCCGTGTTTTCTGATTTTTCTTGATTGCAGGACCAGAGTTTTGTTTGTTTGTTTCTGTTCTTGCTGAGACAGTGTCCCTTTGTTGCCCAGGCTGGAGGGCAGTGGCGTGATCTCAGCTCACTGCAACCTCCACCTCCCAGGTTCAGATGATTCTCCTGCCTCAGCCTCCCAAGTAGCTGGAATGACAGGTGTCTGTCACCACGCCCAGCTAATTTATATATATATATACATATATATATATATATATGTATATATATATATATATTTTGAAATGGAGTCTCACTCTGTCACCCAGGCCCGAGTGCAGTGGTGCAGTCTCAGCTGACCGTAACCTCTGCCTACCGGGTTCAGGCGATTCTCCTGCCTCAGCCTCCTGAGTAGCTGGGATCACAGGCATGTGTCACCACTCCCGGCTAATTTTTGTATTTTTAGTAGAGACTGGGTTTCACCATGTTGGTCAGGCTGGTCTTAAACTCCTGAACTCAAGTGATCTGCCCGCCTCGGCCTCCCAAAGGGATTACAGGCTTGAGCCACCGTGCCCGGCCAGGACCAGAGTTATTTATAAAGTACCACGAACCGTGGGCCCCGGATGTCACCTTCAGAA